CGCTTAATCACTTCTGTCAAAACTTTTACAGATTCTTTCTTTTCCTTAGGGTGTCCTTCAAATCTTAAAATAAAGAAAAAATTCTCACCAAACCGGCACACTTTCTCTTTCTGTTCTCTTTCATTTTGGAGCTGTCCCAACTTCAGCAGCTTTAATGGCTGCCTCTTTGCCACTGGCAAAAAGAGCTTCTCCTAGATCTACCAGGGACTTTGCGGTGTCCCTGGGATTGACAGGATGCGCTCTTTACATTCACTGTCTCTTTGGGACAGTTTAGATCCGTTTGGACTGTCCAGGAGCAAAGATATCGGCAGCGATCTCAGACCTCCAAGATTGCATGCTGTATCGTCACGGCGTCAGCTCTGCCCTCCTAATCAGTGCAATTTTTAATTAACTTTAAAGATACATTAAATTATCAAGTTAAAATTTGCACTGGTATACTACTTATGGATGGCGCCTCCATCATGCCACTCGCGGGCTAACGGTAATCATTGACCTGAACAAAGTTGCAAAGCTCTACCAATACCACTTCCTATTTAGAGATTATTAATTAGGAGATGTAGAGGAAGACAAGAATATTCATGAAACCATCTCCTTTTTCAATTTGTGCTGGTAAAGAGGTCTGAATAAAAATTGTAAAATGTGGTCAGATGAACAGGATTCCTGTTCTCAGTTAGATTTCTTAGATGGATAATGATAACTGCATTTAGTATATGCATTGCATTCAAACTTATCTCAAAATAGTTTGATTTTGAAACAACCATTTTAGGTTGTTTCAAGATCAGGACATGATTTGAAAACTTTTCAAGGTTGGAAACATTTTACAGCTATATGCTGTAATTGTATGGAGTTGCCAGAGAATTCTGAGATTCAGTGAATGTTGGACATTACTTCCAAGTGGGTTATTGGTTTATTTTTAAATTTTCTAGCCTGCTGATATAGCACTGGAGATGGATCATACCTCTGGTACTACTGACTGCAGAATGGCATGCTGGGCAAAATGGCAGGTATTCAAGCAGCACATGATTCAGTAAAAAGCCATTCAGGATCTAGTCTTTTCTGCTTTTGGAAAAGATTTGGAAAACTGCTGTGATTCGGCTACAACTAGATTCTTATTGCTGTTGGATTTTAATAAGTACATCTTACTGCAGTATGTACTTTAAAAAAAAGTTAGGTTTTTTTATTGTATTGCATTAAAATTAAAAGTATAGCAGAATTTTAAAAATTGAAAGTGGTGTTGATATAGCTGATTTTCCTTTTTTAGCAATTCATTACCTTATAAAGAAGTGACATTTTAACCTAACTAGTATGTGAACGGTTTGCAGATATATTTAATATTGAGCATATTGAGAAATATTATTGCAATGTATCATAACAGGTTTGCCAAAGTAGAATATATTGCCCCATCCTTTATTATTATTTATCTTTGATTAATGGAAAATGCTGCCTTTTCCAGGCCAGATAAGAAATTATTTCCAAAAGCTATTCTTCAGTGTCTGGAATAATGCCACTTTTCTAATTTTTTCAACATTACTCTTTTAACCATTGCTCATGCATGATAGAGCCATAATTCTTGATAAACAAGTTCCAAACATTTGGTACATAATTTAATACTACATTGACATCTTTAACATTTAAAGGTGATTGCATAAGTTTTAACAAAGAAAACAAATAAAGGTTTCCCCTGACAAGTTGTGTCCAACTCTAGGGAGTGATTCTCCTTTTCCTAGCTAAGGAGCTAGCATTGCCTGAAGTTGTTTCCATGGCCATGTGGCCAACATAACTGTACGCCAGGAATGCTGTTTTCTTCCCACTGAAGTGATACCTGTTTAACTAGTTGCTTTTTCACACTTTCAAACTGCTAGCTTGGCAGAAGTTGGAACAGGAACTCACTCCATCACATGGTGCTTGGGTCTTGAATTGCTAACCTTCTGGTTGATAAGCCAATATCTAACTTCTAGTTACCATGCCCCTTCCTGCTTACATGCATTAAAATACCATTTCAAAACATTGACAAATGATCAAAAGAACCATTTTTACGCCTCCAACAGGAAACATTGATGTCCTTCCTTTTGAATTCATTATTTAGGGAGTCCAATAAACTCATATTAAAATTTTTGATGAATCAACTTTAATTGCAAATCTGTTCATGCCATTTTAATATTTTTAAGAGTTGGAGCCATTGGATAGAACATTATTGGATATTCCAATTCTTTAGATCATATTTAAATTATTCCAAAATGTTCACTTTAAAAAAAACCCTCCTGCCCTTTTGATAGAAACGTGTTATGGAGTTTATTTTGTCATAGATACATTTCAATATGAAAGCTTCCTGGGCCTTTGCAGTGGTCAAAGTGTCTGGCTCATATTGAGCCATTCAGAATTCTTGTTGAAAACGCTACACTGTTGTGAACTAAAAGCTCAAATTTAACTTGAAATCAGGAAAAATCCTTAAAATAATCATTACATAATAATTAGTTTGCAGGCATAATCCCAGCTTCCACCCCTTCTATTCAATATAAACACCCCCTATAATGAAACTATACTTTTTTTCTGAAGAATTAAATATTCATGAGTATTATTTTCAAAACTGTTCTGTGCCTCTATATGATCCAAAGATTTCTGGCAGCTGGCACTCCTGGAAATAAAATGCCTTTTTCTGGTACATGTTGTTCCAAGCACTTGCTCTGATCCCAAGGCAAATAAGATAATAGCTTTACAACAGAGCCCATAGAATATGTTAGATTCTTCTATTCATCTTCTTGTTATATCTGACCAAGCTCATATTATATTAACTCTTTGATTTATGCCAGTTATGGAAGATATTTTAAAACTGCTTGTTACCAAAGGAGGGGAGAGCTCTACTAACAATAGCAGCTAGGCAGATCTGTAAGGAAGAAAGTGTTCTCATAGACATTCAAGTCCCAAAATGCTTAAACCCAAGCTGTTTAGAAAGTTTAATATCAAAATCATTAAATTTGGCTATTAGCAAATCAATAATAGAGCTCTTTCAACCCTTGTCTAATTTGGCACCACACAATCAAATTCTCATCCTGTCTACAGTTCTACATTTTAAAAGTTTCTTGCTTAGTCTCCTAAGTCTTAAGAAGTAAGTCAATATTTTTTTGCAAATGTCTTTATAATACCACATGTCTCCAAACTTTATATGTTGCATATAATTCTTGGAAAGTACCCTGTTTGCATATTTTTACATATTTTCCAACTATTGGCAAAATGGGACACAGCCAAATGCAGGTCAGAACATCTGAGAAAGTTTAATATAGCAGGGAAAAAGCATTGCTGATTGTGAAAGCTATTAAGCTGAAAGTGATGGTCTGCTTTACTAGTGGAAGTCTGTGTTAATATTTAGCAACACAATTTAATGCAGTCTTAGAAAAAGTACAAGAAGAAACCTTACCCAGATTGACAGAAAGATGTTATGGATGATCCTAGTGGGTGTCCTCCATACTGATTTAATAATGGTCCTCTCTACTGCCTCAAAAATTTCCATGGAAGAGAAAGCTGACATTGCAAGTCAAATGGCATGCTGCCAGAATATTTAAGAGAAGTTGTAGATGGAGCACTGAAACACAGAAGACAACCTAGGAGATTATTTTTTAACAAAGTAACCTTTATGTGCTTCAAGATATGCTAAATAGACTTTATGGAAAACTGTTAGGCTGGAAAAGAATTTGTTGTTTAAAAGCAGCTATTATACTGTAGTTTTGTTAAAACCTTTTCAGATAAAATTCATAATTATCACAGAATTAGCTTTCCCTTTCAAAAAATGCTATCAAGACCCAAATTAAAAGTACAAATGGAGATACTATAGAAAGATGGTCAAAGCAGCAGTCCCCAGCCTTTGCGGCTTGGTAGTCCAGCTTGGGGGGGGGGAGAGGGGAACCAGGCTGCTTGAGGTGGGCTGATGCGCACGTGTGCACACACACCTCCTCTCACACAACAGACGCCTTCAGGCTTCTCCGTGACAAAAGCTAACTCCTGAAGCAGCGCGAGATCGCTCCCTCAAAGCCTTTTGTCCATTTGCAAAACCTTTTGGTGTGAAGAAGAGAAGTCCCATTCAGCCTCTGCTCCAAGCACTCCACTTTTGGATCATCGGAAGCAGGCAGCTTGCTCGCTCGTCAGCCTGGCTGGGGGAGGAGACGGGAACCAGGCCTCATGAACAGCTCCACTCATGCAAGAGAGAAGAGGAGCCTTTGGGTTGCCAGTAGATCTGCACATGAGTAAAGTTGCGTGTGTGCACTGGCCCGCCTCATGCGGCCTGGTTCCGAGTGACCACGGCCCAGTGGTGGGCCGTGGCCCAGGGATTGGGGCCCCTTGGTTAAAAGGAGTAGCAGAAGACACTGTCTGCTGTTATTCTTTTAGAATTATTGTCCCCAGCCTTGCACCTATGGTCTCATGCCTTGTTGTCAGCATGCCTAATTCCTAACTGACATTTCTGCCATCCACCACTCCAGCAACTGTTACAGGTCATCAGGAGTAGATAAAGGTGATGGAGCAAAGTTGCACTGTCTAGCATTTCAACACCTGGTCTGGAATGTAAGCTCTAGTTTGTAAACAAATACAATTATGTGTTTACTTTCACTAGTTGCAGGCAGGGATTCTTGAATCCTGTTTCATCTGGGCCAATTCTATTTACTTCTCTGGCCATTATTCTACAAGAAAGGACCTCAGATTTTTCTAGTGTAATATGTATTTATTTGCAATGAATTGCATTGCTTGAATTTCTGAGGTTAGTTTGAAAAGTAGGATATAAATAATTGTAACAAATAATTATATTTTTTGTTTTTCTGTGGGTTTTTCTTTTGCTATAATAATTTTTACTTCATTCTTTGTGTCTGTACCTGTTTTACTAATTACTCTATTGACTGTTCTTCTTAAACAGAAATGCAGCACATAAATAATGTTTGTGTTGCTTGTTACTTGCACTGAATCTGCTCACAAAAATGCATAGAGAAAATAACCAGTTCTGTTATATTTTCTAGGAAATAAAACTTGATCAGGTTACCAAATCAGCACTTGGGAGAGAAATTGACTTTGGGATTATTTGTAAAAAGGTATGATGCTTTGAACTTTTCTTAAAAGTTGTATTTTTGTCTGGAAAGTATTTTTCTACCATCAGTATATTAACACAATGAGATATGTTTACATCCCTTTTAATATAAGTAATACATTAAGCTTCCAGTGACGTGTCAATGCATCATATGGAACATCTCCAGGGGCATATAGCTATGTCAAAATGGTAGGCATGGCCAGGTGATCAAAACCTTGGAACCTTTTACTGTGTGTGTGTGCGTGTGTAACCATACGATAGACTTTTTTTTTTTAAAAAAAGCAAGGTTTTGATAATCTAAATTGCATATTGTTGGTATTGACCATTCTTGTAGATGTCCTTGGCAACATGTTATATCTTGTGTGTAGATGTTTGTACAGAATTTTCTTACCACTATTGTTCTTGAATTCTAGCTTTCTAGTTCCAAACGCAAATTTTGGCATGATTACTGCCAAAAGAGAAAATTAGTTGTGCAGATTAACAGGAAGGTACATTTTTTTTATATTGAACATCTCCCAAGACTATCTTTGGTCATTTTTCCTCCATCAAGATTACAGTTGGGTTGTTGTAAAATTAAGAATTTTCCTAATAGATCTAAAGATAATCTTGTACTTGATTGATTGTTGCAGTTATTTTAGAATGAGTCATATTAAAGGTCTTGCTTTAATACCTGTATATAGATAGATACGTATTTATATTAAATTATGAGATTCAGTTATATCAGGATATTAGTTTAAAAATGGAGCAATATGTCACAGTACATTCAATCTTAATGCAATCTTTTTCAGTGAGCATTAAAGCTAACTGTCAAGTAATTTCAGAAATGTAGGAATGCAGTCTCACAAGCCAGTATTGTTTTGATGGATTAAGACTCTTAACTTTGAAAATGTTATTTTTCAAATGCTTTGAAAAATGTTGGCATTTCTTAATGCATTAAAAACCAAACACATGATTACTTAAGTAAACTCTTTACATTCTTTTCTTTAAAAAATGTATGTGTAGTCCTGAATTCACTAAATGAATAAATAAATAAATAGTCAAATCTTTGTGGCTTAGCAGCTCTTACTGAATTAATGTAATCTTTTGATATTGTACATATACTTTATATTGTATGAACATGGAATTCCATCACAGTGAACGGTTTGCTCTTTACTAGCATTTTTGCATCTGAAATATTTGCAGTATGAAAGTGGAGCTTTTATTAAGGGACTTGGTTTTGTTTTGGGTTTTTTGCTTGTGTTTTTAACTCTGCACACCTTTAGGGCAGTACCATTGCTTAGTTATCTTAGTGTTTTTCAAACTTGTCAACTTTAAGATGCGTGGACTTCGACACCCAGCCGGCTCCCATTGCTACTCAGAGTTCCTTGGATGCCAAAGTAATAATATCTAAATATTCTTACTTCCACAAATACAACAAGATTACTATTTTAGAGATAAGTTTTACAGATTTAAAAGAGCTCTTTGATCTTGGCTGAAATGGAAATGACTGTGGATGTATAAAACCACAGTTTCCTGATAAATTTCCATGGCAAACAGATGTGAACTTGAAACAGAAATAGCTGTGATTACTTTGGGAACGTTGGTGATGAGAGAATGTTACATGGAAGTGTAAAATTTGCCTGTTATGACTAATTCTGTTCCAGTAAGGTACATGAATAAATCTTCTGATCCTCAGAAAATGTGTATATTTGAACTGTGCTCTTAAATATTTTCAGAGCAGTAGAATTTTTTTCCTAATTAGTATCTCCTCCCATGCCAAAGAATATATCTTTTAGCAAAACTAGTTCAATAAAAAGCTAGTTATAAATATTCCTGTCTTGCATTACTATTTAAATGGAAGAATACTTAACTTGAATATTTTGTTTACTTATTTTGTTTACTTATTTTGCACTATGATCATAAGCTCAGATTCTCTGAGTGTGTCAATTCTGTTGATGATCATCTCATCTGCATATAAACCTTTTGATGAAGCTGCATGAATATTTCCCTTGCCATAACCTGCAGGATGTCCATGTCAATTTGCCCAAGTAGGAGAAATTTTCCCATTTTATATATCCTGCCCAGGCACTATGCACAGCAGCTGATGGCCTTGGAGAAACTCTGCAGTGATGGTTACAAGAATATGTTTTAAGTCAAGAAAATGAAGGCTTTAGAAAGAAAATCAAATTGATTGCACCTTAATTCCCTGAGGTATAAGAGGGAGAGGAAGGAAAAACATAATTAGCCTTTCAAGATTCTGTTACTGTAACCTATAAGAATAATCTGAGACCCAAAAGCTTATTAGACAATGCTTGGATTGTGAGCAATTATTATTCTTTGATGCATGCATAGGGTTAGAAAATATTTCTTCAACACCAGACATGGACAAAATCCATGTAGCACAAAATCTTTGTTACCCCAGTAAGAATAGCTAATACAAAGAAATTATTTCAAGGAGCTTTTGTCTGTTGTGGTAATGTTCTTGAATAGATGTCAGGATTCTTTTCAGTTGAGTTTCAGGGAGGGACATAGAACCAAAACAGTTCACATTTGTAGTTGACATCTGGACAGAGACAGGATAAAGATAGTGGCTCAGTGGCTTAATGATGCTGCAGATCACGTTTGCTCCAGTGGTTTGAGTCCTGGTGGGGTGAGCTGTCACTCTTCTCAGCTTCTGCCTACCTAGCAGTTATAAAACATGTTATATGTGAGTAGATAAATAGGTACCATGTCAGTGGGAGGATGAACTGGTGCTTCATATGGATGGTTAGAATCCTGCTGATGCTGGATCTTCCTGGTTGCAAAGCCCGTTTGCGAGGTGGTTTCAGTGGAAGGAAATGGCCTCATATGATACTTCAGGAAAGCCACTTATCTTACTGGTGCGGAGCTAGCTCACCTCCTATAGTACACCTTAGAAAACATGTGAGTATGAGCCAAATAGGGCTAGCAGGCAGCCAAACTACTACTCTGTATTAGCATTGTCATCACCTGGCTAATGCAATACTGCCATACTCTAAATAAATAAAATCAGTGGTTTTTGATACCACAGATAATGTTTTCTTTCTTAATTGATTCTGGAGATTAAGAGTGGGAGGAATGGTGGTGTAACAATTCTCCTTCCTCCATAACTAGTTGTATTCAGTGTTGATTGGAGTAAAGGCTGCCAGTGCTTTTGTCACTCATGTTTAACATGAAGACACTGGGAGAGGGTATCTGCCATGATTCCGGTCAGGAATCATCTGTACACTAATAATATCCAGCTGTACAGGTGAAACTCGAAAAATTAGAGTATCGTGCAAAAGTTCATTTATTTCAGTAATGCAACTTAAAAGGTGAACCTAATATATGAGGTAGACTCATTACATGCAAAGCAAGATAGTTCAAGCCGTGATGTGTCATAATTGCGATGATTATGGCTTACAGCTCATGAAAACCCACAATCTCAGAAAATTAGAATATTACATGCAATCAATAAAACAAGGATTGTACATAGAACAATATTGGACCTCTGAAAAGTATAAGTATCCATATGTTCTCAGGACTTGGTTTGGGCCCCTTTTGCAACAATTACTGCCTCAATGCGGCGTGGCATGGAAGCTATCAGCCTATGGCACTGCTGAGGTGTTTTGGAAGACCAGGATGCTTCAATAGCGGCCTTCAGCTCTTCTGCATTGTTCGGTCTCATGTCTCTCATCTTTCTCTTGGCAACGCCCCATAGATTCTCTATGGGGTTCAGGTCAGGTGAGTTTGCTGGCCAATCAAGCACAGTAATCCCACGGTCATTGAACCAGGTTTTGGTGCTTTTGGCAGTGTGGGCAGGTGCCAAGTCCTGCTGGAAAATGAAGTCAGCATCCCATAAAGCTCGTCTGCGTAAGGAAGCATGAAAATCTCCTGGTAGACGGTTGCGTTGACCCTGGACTTAATGAAGCACAGTGGACCAACACCAGCAGATGACATGGCTCCCCAAATCAACACAGACTGTGGAAACTTCACACTGGATTTCAAGCATCTTGCAGTGTGTGCCTCTTCATTCTTCCTCCAGACTCTGGGTCCTTGGTTTCCAAATGAGATGCAAAAGTTGCTCTCATCAGAAAAGAGGACTTTGGACCACTGAGCAACAGACCAGTTCTTTTTTAATTTAGCCCAGGTAAGACGCTTCTGACGTTTGTTGTTCAGGAGCGGCTTGACAAGAGGAATACGACATTTGAACCACATGTCCAGGATCCGTCTGTGTGTGGTGGCTCTTGATGCACTGACTCCAGCTTCAGTCCACTCCTCGTGAAAGTCCCCAACACTTTTGAATGGCCTTTTCCTGACAATCCTCTCCAGGCTGCGGTCATCCCTGCTGCTTGTGCACCTTTTTCTTCCACACTTTCCCCTTCCACATAACTTTCTATTAATGTGCGTTGATACAGCACTTTTGGAACATCCAACTTCTTTTGCAAATTACCTTTTGAGGCTTTCCCTCCTTATGGAGGGTGTCAATGATGATTTTCTGCACAACTGTCAGGTCAGCAGTCTTTCCCATGATTGTGATTCCTACTGAAGCAGACTGAGAAACCATTTAAAGGCTCAGGAACCCTTTGCAGGTGTTATGGCTTCATTAGCTGATTAGAGTGGGACACTTTGAGCCTAGAATATTGAACCTTTTCACAATATTCTAATTTTCTGAGATTTTGGATTTGGGGTTTTCATGAGCTGTAAGCCATAATCATCTCAATTATGGCACATCATGGCTTGAACTATCTTGCTTTGCATGTCATGAGTCTATCTCATATATTAGGTTCACCTTTTAAGTTGCATTACTGAAATAAATGAACTTTTGCACAATATTCTAATTTTTCGAGTTTCACCTGTATATCTCACATTTGGGTCAGCCAATGATCCCATGGAGGTCTAGTCCAAATAGATAAGAGTTGTTCAGATCTGGATGGAAAGGATCAGCTGCCTGCTCCTGATTGTTCTGGTACTAAGAATTTTGTGTTTAGTTCTGAATGCAAATGTGTTTTTCTGGGCAGAACTGATGCTCAGTTTGTGGCTCTTCTAGACTTAGAACTCATGCTCAATGAAGCAATGATGGAAATGTAATTCCAAGATCAAGATTTTGTGGAATTTTTTTCTATCTCTAGTTGAGATCCTAAATAATAGCTGGATTCTCCAATGATGCATCATTGTTTTCATATATTAAATATGGAACATAATTCATATAAAATCAATTACTGTAATTCACTTTGGAAAAACTACAGCATCGTTTCAGTGAATTACAATTTAGACTGACTAAATTATAAGATGTGGAAAAGTTAAAGCATATAAAACCAAGGTCTATTGAATTCAGTTCAATTTATTTAGTCAATAAAATGTCAAGCAGTAGATTCTTGGGTGTTTTAATATACATGAGTAAAGAGACTATGTAACTTGAATGCTTTGGGGGAAATTATTTAAGGTGTTTTAACAAAGGCAAAATGCACATAATTTCCCTCTTTTGAAACCAGACATTCCACCACAAAAATATCTAGGAGGATCTGGGACTTTAGAGAGCAAATATCAGCTTTTGGTTGAAATGGTGTTCTACCACTTTGAATGGCATATAGGCAGTTCTTAAGCAAGGTGACAGCTCTAATTTGGGATTGAAAGGTTTATGGACATAAACCTTTTTTGCAATATACCCTTGTTTCAAGGAATATTCTTGTAGGATCAAATACCTCTTTGTGTACTTTTCTGTTTTACTATTATGTTTTCATTCAATATATTTTTTTCATTTTCCTAATATAGCCCAGTTCTACAGCAAGAGACAGAGCAATTGCTAGGTTGACATCTCATTCATTACTGAAGACGAAAATTGCTAATATTAAAGGTAAGCAGAATTCACTGCAACTCAACTGTGTACAAGGTTGTGTTCTAAATTTGCAGCCTCTTGCTTGAATATATCTTAAACTATACAGCAATATGTCTATATGTTGTTAGCCTCTGAAGAACATTTATAGTTACAATGCATTTTAAATATTTTTTCATTCACCTGAAGGAAAGGGAGAAGAACTCCATCAAGAAAATTAGTTGATAACCCAACTTCACATAATCCAAATAACTGCAGTATTTTTTGTGTAGAAATAAAGGTGTTATAAGTCATTCATAATGTTGCATGTATATCTTCTAGTAGAAGATTGATAAGCTGCAAAACTTTTAATTCATATTCTTACTCTTCCTTGTGAAACTAAAAACTAATGAAAAGGATCAGGGATTCTAAAATCCCTAGTAATATACTGTGAAAGTAACACAATTAATACAAAGGACGTATAGTTCATTAAATAAAAATTTTGGGGAGGTGTAAACTACTTAAAATTATAAATAGCAGGGTTGTTTTATAACTTCTTTACCATTGCTGTGCTTATATACAAGTTGTTCCTATTTTTTTCTAATCAAACCTGCATTTATTTTTCCTAGCTGCGGTGGAAGACTTTAAAAATGCAAGACAGACACCAGCTAGAGCTATTTCTTCAATGGAACAACAACTGGAAGGGCAACTTAATAAGCATCCTGGAGAGACCCAGCATTCTGTTAGCAGCGAAACACTTAAACAAGCTGAATCTCAAGATAAAACAAAGGCAATCGAAAAAACACAAATTGATACAGGGGAAAAATATATTTTTGAAAGTGGAGTACAGAAAATGGCAGATAATATGAAAAAATGTCCCTCATACTCTTCTGCTGTTCTTGACATAGAAAATGACAAATTAGTTCATCAGGATCAAAGTGGAAACTCTGAATATTCACAAGAAAAAGTATATTTGAATGACATTGTAAATAAGACAGTAGGTGACTCTGATGAAGATCTGGATAAAAGTGAGGATGGTGGAAAGGAGGAATGTTTTGATGACAGTACAGAAGAGAGATTCTGTAATCAGTCTTCCAGCACTGATGAAAGTAACAACAATGATGATTTCTTCATTGGCAAAGTAAAGAGAATGAAAAAAAGGAGAGCAGCTAATACTTCACAACCTACAGAAAAAATTAAAACCATGCCTCTAAAAAAACCAAAGGATCATCCACAGTGTGACAGGATATTAGACCCAAATTCAAAAGCCAGTAAGCAGAGTTCAAAAGCAGGGAAGCTAGAATCTGTGTTTTATCATTCATTGTCCAACACTCAAGAACCCTTACATGTGAAAAGGTAGGAACATTTTTTTTTCACTGAAAATCTGATCAGTGATTTGTTGAAACAGTGTTTTAAAATGTTCAAACAATAGTGTAAAAACAACTTAGATTTTTCTGATTATGAAATGGAAGAGAATAGTTTCCTCCTCAACTTTGAGAATCAAACACAGGACCTAGAGGTTTTCCCCATCTCTTCAACGTAGCATGTAGCAAAAACTAATTATGCTCTTGAGACAAAAGTAAAATGCCTTTATTTTCAGTGGGACTGAATTTGTGTACCAAGTGTCCAGAGAGGAAACAGAAGGAGCATTATAGTGGGGAAGACAGATTCTAGTTAGGCCCAATAAACATAGCATTAAGGAGCTACTATCAAAGAAACATGTCATTAAATGCATGCCTGTAATTTATGTGCATATTTCAAGGTAAAATAGCTCTGCCTGGAGTTCTGTTTTGGAGTTGTATATTTTTCCCCATAACAAAGTAAAACTGCATCTACTCTCTAGGCCAGACAATGTGTTTCCCCTACTGTCTGCCTTACATGATCCCTTCCTGGTTATTGCGTCAGTTTTCATATTGAAGGTTATTCAGAGAAACTGGATCTTAGCACCATTAATAGATTAGGAAGAATCTAGATTAATTGTAGGAAACATTATAGTCATATTTGTCTTAGCTTGGCCATGTAAGTACACTTATGTAAATAATGTATGCATTTATGTATGTAC